CAGAAGACGAGGACGATCCCGACGTGAAAGCAAGGAAGAAGTGGGAAGAGGATAAGCTTCTTGGCCTACATGACTTTTCGGAGTCATCTTCAACACCAGCACCTTCGTCAAGTAACGGCAATCTCAATGGGTACCACACCAACGGCGTGGTTGTAAAGAAAGAGGCGAAATCCGAGGATGTATCAATGACAAATGGGACCGGGGATGAAGAAGGGGACGAGCCTACAGTTGTGCAACCGTATGAGACCGAAGAGTCCCTTGAGTTCAAACTCACTCTTTTGGAAATGTACTTCCAGAGAGTGGAGAAGCGCTTGGAGGCAAAGGGCTTGATGTTTGACAGAGGTCTGATGGACTACAAGAAGGTGAGTCTCCCAAAGGTCTCTATCCAAGAGCAAATGCTGATCAAAGGTTAGATGCAAGCGGTCGAGAAGAAGAGACCCAAAGAAGAACGAGAGTTTATTCACCGGTTACGCCCGTTTGCGAGGTTGCAGACATCCGCCGACTACGAAGCTTTCACGACCGATATGCTCTGTGAGTAACTCAATTTCCCGTTCAAAAACAAACTCCTTACTCGTGTTATCAGATGAAGCGGTCCTTCGGAAGCGCATCCGGGAGCTGCAAGGGTATCGTCGTCTGGGGCTGTCTTCAGCAGCAGATATCGAGAAGTATGATGCAGATGTAATTAAGCGGGTACGTCGTCTGCCATCTTACCCTTACAGGCGCTCAGTCTTTCCTTCAGGCGCAAGCCAAACGGGAGCATACCAGCGTTGACAGGCGAAGAGACGGTCTGTGGAGATATCGTCTACTCGTGTTGCTATCACTAACAAGCCCTCAGAATCTCGAGAGCCGACGCCTCGAGCTGCTGGCAATGCTCCGATCATCCGCAAGCCCCGTAAGTCTCGCTCTCTCCTCCTTCTGATGCACACTGAACCTTTGGCTACTTTCAGCCGCGCCTCTCAATCTCGCCAACAGCCCATCACTTCATCTACTCACACCTGCCGAACAAACTCTTTGCTCTCAGCTTCGTATCCTTCCCAAGCCTTATCTTGTTATCAAAGAAACCCTCGTTCGAGAATATGCTCGCCGTGGCGGGAAACTGCGAAGAAGAGAAGCTCGTGATCTGGTGAAGATCGATGTGAACAAGACGAGTCGGATATGGGACTTCCTTGTTCGTGCTGGGTATCTGAAGATCACCACGGAGCCGACTGGGGAGACCTCCGCTGCTGTTGCTGGAGATACGAGGTAGAATACCTCCTGTTGCTTCGATGGACTTCGTGTGCTGACGCTCTCTTCTCCTCACTAAGTCGGCAGAGCAGCTTGGCCGTGAATGGATCGCCCCAAAAGGAAGCTGTCAACGGCAAATCGCCTCGTCCTAGCAATATGCTACCGCCTGGGACATCACACCAGCCTCTGGGCCCTCCACCACTACCAACGTCGAGTTGGCCAGGTTCATGATGACGACTCTCTCGTCGGCTTCCCATTTCTGTCCATTTCTTCGGCATGACGGGTTCCTTGCTTTGGCCTTTTTGATTTGTGTTTTCGTTATAATTTCTTTCCCCCAGTTTTCCTCGTCTCGCTCTATCACAGCAATTGTACCATCAAGCATATGTATCGCACTCAGCATCATACCACTTTCACACTATAAACGCCATTTTTGACCGGGATGACGCTCACGGCACTCCTGCCTCATGAGTCCACGCCCCGTGAGTCCTCCAAGCTTGGATTCCGATCTGTCTCAAGACAAAGTATTGCGTTAGATTCAAGTCTTTACGAATTACATACAACTGCCACGTCCGAGTTGCCAGTGTGGCTTCAAAGATCAAGGTGCTTCAAACCCCATCGCCTGTCGATGAGAAGACATCAGTCAACGTACAGATGAGACTGGGCTAAGGCCTTTGAACATTGAATGCTTGGACCACTCACTGAGTCACAGATCACTCTCGCTAGGAACGCCGCGGGCACCAACAGTGAGCGCTCGATGTAGGTCAGCAATACAGACATCATCGCCAACAAGGCACAGTAGACGAAGCCCTCCAGGAAGTACTTGGACTGCCCATCTGTGACCCTGCCACCAGCCTCATCCTGGTCAGGACTGACCATTATTTCGGAGGAGAGCTCCCTGTGCCAGACCTCCACTGTGGTGGTGACGACTATGCGGATATCGACACGTCGGGTGGCTTCGGCCAGTAGTACCGCCATCTCCCTGCTTTGCCGTGGAACATAGACTATGTCATAGCCTATATCGATAGCTTCGTATTCCCCTTCTTCATCGCCATCGTTATCGTCGTATTCCTCGTCGTATTCCTCGTTGTATTCATAGTCATCTTCCAGGAAGTCGCTGAGGATACTGGTGGGGGATAGCATGAGCTCCTCGATGTCACTGATACTGGTCACGTCGTCTAAGTCTTCAAGGTCATGGTCGCTGGCTAAGGATCCAGAGGACACCACCACGCCGTCGATCCTAACCGGCCTGACTGCCTCGAACTCCGATTCAGTGTCGAAGGTGTTTTCAAGAACAGGTTCGGGATTCAGAGCCAAGACGCTTTCAACCCTATTCATGATAGAAAAGTGGAGTTTGTTCAGTCAAAATGTCTATGTTTAAAGAAGTCCAAGGGCAAGGTCAGTAGGGTGCCGTTCGAAAATGTAGCACTCCAATCACCTGCAGGGCCTCAGGTTCCTGGTGTTTACAGATGCTCGAGCTGCTGTTGGGGGGTCGCTAAGGGTAATAGTCGAAGCAATTCCCTTAAATATTGCTAGGACACCTTTTCTCTGTAGAACATAATTACGGCTTTAGTTGCTTCTTTCCACTAGCAATATCCACAATATTACGTTCAGCGTTGCTTCGCAGTTAGAGTCATTGTGTTCTCAAGTCATAGTAACGGTGAGTGCGGTGGTGCTGAACTTTGCCGCAGCTCTGTTGAATGTGGCGCACTGGCTTGGCAACATACCCTTTGCAGGATCTCCTTGCCAATTCCCCTAAGTGGAATAGCTCACTGTGCACAAGGCTTGTTCCAGAAGGCGAGAGACACTCGGCTCTGAGTTCGAGAACTAACGTTATTATGGCCATGACTCCTTGACGATCGTTGAGTCGAGGCTTGCCGACGGCAAGTTGACTTGGGAAAAACCAATGGTAATGAATCTCGTCCCTCCTATGCATCTCTTCAGGACGACAGGTTTGATCCCCTTTCTTTTGTTTTTTGGCTCCTTCTGATTCCTTGAGACAATTCTTCTTTCTTGCCTCATTCCACCCCAGAAGGTGTTCTATCAAACATACGCATCCCATGGAACACCATAACATTCTCCATATGGGACTATCTGTACCGTGGCAAGGCTCTCATTTTTGGATTCTCGGGCTCAGGAATCAATCTTTCGAGCATTTGCCGGACCAACCAAGGTAAGAAACTAGAGTTTATCAAAACCTATTCATATCAGAGGGGTGTACTTTGCGACTAATACATAGGAGTGAGCTAGATCCGTGCATATTCATAGCTGAATGTATGCCGACGGCTTGGGAGAGATTTCAAGGCGCTCTAAGCGTAGTTACCTGTCAGGGGTAAAGACACAGGCAAATCAGAAGTGTCACTTGAAAAGAGTCGCTGGAACTTACAAAGATATTTCCTGATCTCCAACGCAATTTCAACAGTAAAGGCACGAGCTGCCTTGCAATTCTCGAGGAAGTAAACCATACAGAGGAAAACAAAAGCCTTCAAGAGAGCCTCGAAGCACTCAGATGCACTAGACATCAAGAGGCTCTTGAACCATCCACCCCTGGTGCCAATGTCTTCAACGCGATCGTTGACCGTGGCTCCAGTAGCGGGCTCGGAGGCTGCAGGGGTAGTTGCTGCACCATTGCGGTGGCCTTGTGCGGCAGCGACCATCTCGTCCCAGCATGTGACGCAGACGAGATAGCCCTCTTCTCCAGAGTCTTCCTCTAAATCCAAATCGTTGGCTGTACTTGTAGGGGATGGCTCGGTGTCACTGACACTAATCGCGTCCTCCAGGTCGATATTGTTGGTGACAGATCCGAAGGATACTACTTGCGCGCTGGGGCTTATCGCCTCAGTCTGAATGGCAATGTCATTGGCATCTGCCAGTACCAGTCCAGAAGACGAGGGATTATCAACGGTATTCATGTCGGTGCAGGGGCGTCGTGAAAAGTCAGAGTTTCGATGTCTAGGTCTAGTGAAGTGTTGGTTCGCAAATATAAGCCTGGCGTTCGAGTTAGGGTTTACCGAAATCTCACCTTTGAGACTTCAAGAATTTGTTCAACTGACTCTGAGATGCTGGATGCCGGTCTTCGAGTGTGGGTAGTTGAAGCTGAGGTTGAACGCTGAAGCCATCCTCATTAAATACATCCCGGACACTTTCCCCGTAGAACAGATCTACGCCTTTGGTCACCCTCCTAGTCCACGGTTACGTTGGGCGTCGACTCGCAGCGAGAGTCATTTCATTTTGAAGTCATAGTAACGGCAAGTGCGGTGCTGCTGCGCTGTGCCGCAGCTCTGTTGAATGCGGCGCATTGGTTTAGCAGAGCGTTTTCTCTCTGAATCTCTTTGACGCATTCCCTCAAGTGAGCTCGTCCATTGCGCATAATGGAACGTTTATTTCAGAAGTTTCGAGGGAGATGCGCTGACAGTATCCTCCCGTTGTCTGCCGCCCGTCGAGGATAGCCATGCCTGAGCTGCGAAGGTGACGTACAGTCGTTGCTCCAGTCGCTCAGATACAATGTCCCCTCGTCGTTCCATCAGAACTATCGGTCGCAGCTCAACCTCTAGTACATGCGCATCTAGACGACCAAGGATGGTCACCGTTCGACCAGGAGCTGCCCCACTTTACTGAAACATGACATACACTGCCGGACATCATGCATTATCAAAGAAGTTGCGATGCTACGGACTACACACCATCAAGTGCAGGCTCTTGGTTAAGCGCCGAAGCATTGGTCCAGACCAAAAGCAGTATAAGCTCAATATGGCTAGCATTTTGGACTAACGCTTAGCGTCCGTATCGATTAGGGGTTAAATCACTTCGTTGTGGTTGGTCCGCTGGGATTATAGCTCCGAAGAGCCGCTGGTTCGATTCCAGCTACGGACAGTTATAAATGGCGACCTCCCAGATATTTTTGTGACGTTTTTCATGTGGCAATTGACCCTTTGCGCACAAGGGACCAAGCAGATCGATGTGATGAGGGACTGGATGGATGTCCTCTGAACATTCCCTAAAGTACGATCCCAAAACACTGGCATAGCAAGTTACAGAGCGTACATGTACAAGGATAGAAGAAAACTACGATACAGTAGGAATTGGGCGTCAGTGAATGGTATCCGACTCAGGCAAGATTCAGACATGTGGTTGGAACGAAGGTTGATAGCAGGGATATCGAAGTGAAGGGAAGCCAATTGCCAAGGCAGAGTGCTTGTCGATCCAGAGCGCGCGAAGGTTCGACAAAGGGGTCATCATAGTCAAGAAAGGCTGACGCAGTGTGAGTAGTATCATATGGCTATTGGCGTACCGCAGTCGTCTGGCAAGCCATTCTAGGCCAGAAGCACAAAGCTTTCCCATTCGGGAGGAAGCCTTTCGGACTTGAGTAGGTGGTGCGGGCACCTCAGCCAGCGATTGGTGATGCTCATGGTCGTGGTGGGATACCAGATGCAATGAAGGGCATCTCACGATGTCGAAGATCTAGAGCATGGCGGCGCACCAGGCTCAAGCATTCTATCCTTCTTCTCCAACCTTCTCCGCCCATCCTTGCACTTCCTCAAGTACTCCCTCGCTCGCTCCTCAAAGATTTCACACCCATTGAACAGATCTGCGGGATGCTTGTCCTTCCTCTGATCCCAAGGCTTCACATCCACAGACTCGCACCGATCGAGACAGATAAGGATCATACCAAACGAATACGCATCCGCTAGCAGAGGATCCTGGCACTCGCCTCGCAGAATTTCTGGTGCAGAGAATGGTCTAGTGCCAGGGTGGATTTGTTCCACTCGCACAGAGGGTATTTTGGGTTGTGGAACGCGGTTTTGGATGTAAGGGAATGGATCGACGGGGTCATCGTCTGGTGATTTGAACGTCGAGTCTGCCGAGACCGATCGTCCAAAGTCCAAGAGCTTGACGGTGTTCGAGTCCCTCGTCACTTGAACGTTCAGCAGTGAGAGATCGCCATGACTTAGTCGGTAGGAATGTAGATGTGTCAGTCCGTCAAGGAGTTGGTTGTGGTAGTTGATCTTCTGTGAACGGTTCAACGGTGGTCGATCCACGATCACGTCGTACAACGTCCGACAATCGAGATACTCGAGGACGATGCCGACGTTCTCGAGACACCCAAAGAACGCGCAGATATTGCGATGCCGTGAAAGGGAAGTGTAGACCCGAAGTTCGGCTAGGAACTGGACTGTCACATCTGAGGAATTGGACTGCATCTCCCCATTGATCTCGAGCTGGATCACATCTGGCTTCTTCACCACGGATTTGAACAGCTCAGAGGCTGATCCATGGGCAAATGGCGTCAGGCTGGCGGTAGCATCGGGTGGTGCTGCATATGCTGTTGGTGTGGGGAAGGAGAAGATGGAGTTTGGGTGCCGTGAGGGGTGGTATACTGGCGAAGGGGGAGGTGAATCGTCATCCTTGGTCTGACTATGTTGCCTATGTTCCTCAAGCCCATGATTGTACTCTTTGTACATCACCGGCTGGGTATCCACTGCTGTATCTTCTGACGATGAGAACGAGTTCATCGAAGCGTTCAGCTGCGCCTGGTCTTCCTCCTCGTCCATTTCCACTGCAAATACCCAGAACGTTCAGACATATCTTAAGACAAAGGTAGGACAATATAGACTCACCCATCCACCAGTTCTTCTTTGACGTCAGCGTCACCCTCTTGATATGCATGGTGGGAGGTATCGACGATGTTGGCCCTGGTGTTCCAGGCTTGTGCTCGCCTGTGGGTGTAGAGACCTGCACAGTGATATTCCTGCTGAAGCCTGGCCGGTGATTCGGTGTCATGGCTGTCAAATAACTGTCAGTATGTGAATCAAGAGGGTCTGAGAAGGCTGAGAGCGCTGGCGACTGGGGGAATGTATGGCAGATGGAGGTAAAGAAGGAAGGGACTTTGTTCGCAGGTTTCTCGATGTCTTGGCACAAGTTCTGACAAACGTGCTTACGGTAAAACGTTCAATACAAATGAATACACTATGGAATAAAGGTTGTATGCCAGTCGCGATAAGACTAACAAGAGTCGTGTCGAGCTAATTATCTTACGTGACTTAGGGTCAGTCTTGCCTAATGGACTTTCGATAAGGAGCAAGGTTTACGTTCAACGGGGAACGGCACGGAATTCCGAATGAAAGTAGCGGAATCCAGATCCAATTGCGAGACTAAGCTTGCGAGCCGTCTCTATGTTAACGAAGGGTATCAATGAAGGGTAAAGGGACGAGAGCAGAACAGACTGAAGCATGCGGAGAAGGGGCGGTTACCACATCGTCCGTGCAAGGCCGAGCAAGAGACAACCAAAGATCACCGCCAAAGAGAACGGTAGAGTGGGCTGCACTACCCACTTCTTCGTCTGTAAGCCTGCTAACCGCATCCGATACTTCTGATGGTTTCAAGTCTCCCACTTCAAATATGGGCTGCTCTCCAATTTCTCCACTGCCGACCATGATCATCTTGCCCACAGACGGCACACCATTCACAACAACAAAGATCAGTGCTGGACCCTGGTGCAAGGATGGAAGGGTTGGGAGGTAGCTGTGAGATGTGAAGGATTGCCGATTGGTTTTTGGTGAAACGCAGTGTAGGTTGACGCGAGCTCGACGAAGCGTTGGCCCATGTTCTACCAGTATTCGCCGATCAGAAAATGTGTGACGAAGTACAAGAATGACAACTCACGATGTTATGAGTCGAGAAACCCGGTCGGACGATCGTCACTCTCGCACTCTTCACGTTCTCCACATCCCCAAAGAGGTCCTCCGATTCAAGTGTCACATCGAACGCCGGACCTCCGTACGATAGCTGCGCTAGAAGCCCTTGTGGTTCAGGGCGGCGTTTCTGATACCAAGGAGGGTACCAGAGCTCTGTTCGGTACTCTGTGGGATAGGGAACGTCAGGGGCTGGAAGCACGAAATCAGGATTGGGGTTGGATCCTGAAACCATCACAGAGCCATCTGGAAGGAGAACAGCAGAGGAGTGGTACATTCTTGCAACTGTGCTTGGCTCCAGCCCTTCACTTGACCATTTGCTCCCCTGGCTTGCTTTGGGGTCATAGAGGGCAGGTTTGTAGATTGGGTTATCACTGTAGGAACCCCCTACAGCCTGGGCAAATTCCTCAACACCGTATCCCGCAGTGCCTGCTATCCAGTTAGGCTTAGCCCCATACATGGAAGACTTTACGCACCTGTGCCAGCACCGTTAAGAGCAAGGATTTTGCCATCGGGGAGGTATATCAAGTTGACCATGACTCGTGCTTCAGGGAGAGGATCCTCTTGGACGTAAGACTTGGAGTTGTCGGGTGTAATCTTGACACAAGAGGTCACCGCAGGCTGAGCATTCTTGATGAATTCCGGCGACAGCCATCTGAGAAAGAATAAATACGGACTCAAGGGAAGAGAAGCTCATGCTAACTGGTCGGTTGCCACATTTGACCCTCCACAAAACATGACGGTGGCCACCCAGTTGTTGTCAGGAGTGAGGGGCAGCATGATCGAACCCGCACTTGCAGGATACACGCGAACTGCGTCGGGGATGTCATCTAGCGCAGTTTCTTCGTTAGTGCGGTAGTCCAACAGCGAGGTCGCCCAATTTGATTGGATGAGTAGCTTCCCGGACGGAAGCAGCCATGTGAGCGGGTATAGATTGGTTGGCAGTGTCCTGTTCAGCAGATCTAGCTCGACGATGTCGTTATCTCCTCGAGGAGGGAAGAATTGGTATGTCGGGTTGTTCTGCCCAGGATCGTTGACATAGCCTCCAAATTTGCAGCCGCCGATCTGCGCCAGGTGAGCTAATCTCCGACATCTCATGAGCTGGGAGGTGCTTACGATGATCACTGAACCGTCCTCCAACGTTTCCCTGGCAGATAAGATTTAGCATGACGCTACAGGGCTTTGTTTTTTCCAGATGTGACTTACAAAGTAGGGTACCACCTCTGGTCCGTAGGCAAGGGAGAGACTGTCCATTCACAGTTGTTGTCGTCACAAGGCGTAAGCATCCTGTCATTTAAGATATGAGTGCTGCCGCAGCCGCAAGGTCACAACGCCGCTCGTCACACACCGAATACTGTGCTGGGCTTTTAGCATGGGTATCAGATTGGATGTAAGTACACGTACGATGTCCGTCCGTCGATGTTGAAGTATGGTGCCCCACTTGCGGACTGGTCTTCGGCGACTGCACCTCCAAAGGTCACGGCTTCATTGCCGCCAACATTCAGCCACGTTCCGTTACCTAGGACGTTACCTCCCTGAACGAGGGTTTCGTGATTAACGGGGAGATGAAGTCACAAGCACGTTGTGAGACATACTGCACAGAACGAGTTGGTCACCGCTTCCATCGGTCGCTGTGTGTCCCCGCCGAGTGCCCATTCTAGACGGCAAGGTTTCGTTTAGGTTGCTTTCAGGCCATGTGAAGAGGAAAGCTGCGGCGTACCTGACGCCCAGGCAGGGTGACCGTTGATCTGGGATGGGTTTCCCTCTACTTTGTCGACGAAGATGACCTTGTCCTCTGTTCCAAGGAAAAGCTGTGTGACATTGGGACCTGGACTAAGCCCAAAACGTCTGGTGTTCACTCACCTGCTGTGCGCTCACGAGACTCTCCCCGATAATCTCAAAGCCGCCAGGAATGCCTGTCCTCTGCGGCTGACCTGGAGCTGGTAGAGTTGGAGCTATTTGGGCATAGCCCAATGAAAAGAACGAAGCTGCGGAAATGATTGATGCCAGCATATTGAGAACCATGAAAAGAGCGACTGGGGAAAGACTGGAAGGAATAAAAGTGTATCGTCCTGCGGATACACACTGAGAGAGAGACTGATAGCTGCCTGTGCCTCAAGCACCGAACCAGACGACGAAGCAACTAGGCAAGGGACACCCGACGTCGACAGTCACAGCCCG